ATTATGTTTCCCATGAGAAAAATGCTAATAATCGGCATGTAGATATTGATGATGAATTGGTAATTTCTGATTATCCTGGTCTATAGATAGATAAAATTCTAAAGCAGAGCATAATCATATGATATCTGAATAATCAAATTATAGAATTTTGATGAAACTAAACAAGAAATAAAAATAAACCTCCTGAAAAATACAATCTAAATCTACTTTGGTAAGTTAATCAAAAATGTTCAAGAAGTAATTTTGTCTATATATAACTACTAAAAGCCTAACCTAACCCTAAGATAAAATAATACTAACTCTAAAAATGATTCAATAAAATATAAAAAACTGCTCTGCTGTAGATATTTCCCTAATTGTTATCAAATAGTTAAAAATATATAACTAGACATGGCTTTAGACATTGCTCCTAGCTCTCTCACAAAAAATTGTTCACCTCTGTAATTTTGATCAATTGAATTTCAGGATCAAGTGTAATATAAAAATCGAAACGAATATACTTTTTTATAAAAAACAAGAATATCTCTAAATTTTAATTAGGAAATTATAACTCTGCAGCCTAATTAAAAATGTTCTTCATAATATTTTACTAATAAATGCTATAATATTCTAATCTTAAACTTAACTATAACAAGGTTTTCTTGGTTTTCATTTTATATGTAACTTTTTTGCTTATATATTTGTTTTGACACCTGATCTTAAATTTTGAATGCTATCTAAAATGGATCTGCCTCATTTCACCAACACTCATTTTGTAGACATATCATTTTACCTACAAACAATTTACCAACACTTAATTTATTGACAAGCTTAATTTACTGACAAGCTTAATTCATCAATATTTAATTCATCAATACTCAATTCACCAACACTCAATTCACTAATATTCAATTTCTGGCAATCAATTCATTGACAAACAATTTACTAACAAACAATTCACTGACAAACAATTTATTACAATCAATTCACTGACAATTAATTCACTGACACTCAATTCACTGACAAGCTTAATTCACAAACTTTAAACTTAATTCTGGTATAATTACTTTGTCAGTAAATTAATTGTGAGTGAATTGATTATCGATAAATTGATTGTTAGTAAATTAATTGTCAGCAAATTAATTGTTGATGAATTTAGTGTCAGTGAATTGAGTGTTAGTGAATTGAGTATCAGTGAATTGAGTATTATTGAATTGAGTTGTCAGCGAATTAAACTTGTAGCGAATTAAGCTGTCAGTAAATTAAGCATGTTGGTAAATCAAGTATCAGTGAATTAAGTGTCAGTGAAATGAACATGTTGGTGAATCAATTGTCAGTGAAATGATATGTCTATGAAATAAGTATTGGTGAAATAAGCAGTACTAATCTAAAATACTTTAGGCATCTTCTAAATTAATTAATAGATCATTATTATTCTCGCTCAGATAGCTTTATTATATGAAACAACATAACGGGAGTAGTGCTCTCTGCTGCAAGTCATACAGATCATGTGATGAAAAATACAAAAGTATTAAAAATATGAAAAATGCATGCTATAGTTTGATAAAGCAATTAATTTTATAAACTTTTCACACATAGCGAAAATAATCCAATTATTATATACAAACTTATTAACTCTGGGATTATACAAATTCTTTTACTGCTTACTTTATAAAGTTTTTGATGATGTCTATACAAAAGGTATAAAGATCAAAAGGATGCCTACACTAAAGTGTAGTGATCCTAGTTTTACTTCCTATACTATTTTTTTTCTTTTTTCTTTTTTTTTGTTCTGCCTACATAGGTGCAGCAAACTCTAATTTCATTCTTGTACCATTAACTCTGTCCACACAGGTACAGCAATTTAAATTTATTCTCATATTGTTAATTCTGTATACAAAAGTACAGCAATCAGTAAGGATACCACACAAAGATGCAGCAATCTCAAATATATATTAAATGATACCCACATGAAGGTGCAGCGATTCTAGGCTCTTATAGTTCAAAAAAAATTTTTTTTTTTTTGAGAGAGGAGGGGGTAAGCTCTTCACTATAAAGCGATATAACAATCAGATAGCAAAATAAAGAAGCACTAGAAATTTACTTACGCCTAATTCACTATAAAATATCCAAATATAACTTACTATAAAATGCCTAAACATAGCTTACCATAAAATACCAAATATAACTTACTATAAAATAACTAAAACTGGTTGGTCACATGATCATCCTCACGATAATACCCTTGCATAACTATTGTCAATGCAAAGGTCATTATTCTTACTCAAATAGCTTTATTATATGAAACAACATAATGGGAGACAAAAGAGGATCAGCAAGTTGATATTATATTTAATTATTCTTATTTTTTTGATATTATATTTAATGATTCTTATTTTTTTTTAAAAAAAAATTCTATTTTGGCTGAAGTACCTTGCAGTGCTATTGAAAAAGACCTGAGATAGAGCACTACTGACTGAGATTACTACCCTCCAATACTCATAATTTGTAGTAATATTAAGCCTGCTTTTATAACTTTGGTAGCTCCACCAATATACATGCTATGGCCTGAATACTTTTCCTTCAAATTTGTGTAGTGGGCTATTTTCTTAACTGCTGTACTTACCATTCCTGTTGTCATGCATTTTTCTAGTATATTCAAAAATAACCAATCACTTTCTTCCTTATTATCTCTCATCCTCAAATATTCATAAGTTAATCTGACTAGACAGTATAGTAAGTTCATAGGGTCAACAGGAACAAATTTTCCTTTGCTAACTGATCTGTTTTTAATTTATTTATTCTAATCCAAAATATACTATCAAGCATCTTTAAATCTTCTACTTTCAGATTATATAACTTAGTTGTACAGGTAAAACAATAAACCTTTTTTACAGATATTCTTTCAAAGATCTTTGGTGTGATATACAACTTTTACAAATATTTCCTATAGGTTTATCAACTACCAAACCGTATAATAGAGAATAGTGATATTTTTAAAAAATGCTTATAACTTAAAATTTTGCTTATGAAATTACTTTTTGTGCTCTAACAAAAAAAGATTGTTATGAAATTTTGAGGTAGAGACAGTCTTTGATACTTCTTTACCTTTAATACTAATCCTTATTCTAAATTATTATGTTTCAGTTAGTTTGGATCTTACATTACATATCTTATATAATATATAATAAATTTCTGTTTAGAATACTACAATAAAAGTTGTATATTATACTAGAAGTTTTGTAAAATTTTGTATATAAAAATTTTTTAGAAAACTGCAAAAAAAAGACAATATCTAATAAAAGTTTTCTATCATAATGGATTTAGAAAATTTTTATAGTTCTATTTATGCAAAACATTTCATAGTATATAAACCAAGTACAATCATTGTACAATTCTCTTTCAAATTTGGTGATGAGTATTCAGGAGTAGATTGTTCATATAGTACTTCAAAGTATTAACTGGCAAGGAGTGTCTTGGCCATGTTGCTTCCTTTTTATCTGTAGCAAGTTTTGTTAAGGTCCGCACCAACTTTCTCACATTAAAGTCTAAGGTTGGGTTTTCTTGTCCCAGTTCCTGATGGCTGTAGCTGATAGCTATTAAATAAAATAGGCTTCATAGACCTTGACAGTATATCTATTCATGTTTGAAAAATTATAATCATATCTGGTTTTGCTGAGC